CACACAGGCCAACCATTACTTACTGCCAGTAAACTAGAAGCCTTTAAACATAGCGTTCCTCAGCAGTTGGAGCACTTTTTTCTTGAACTGAAAAAAGAAATCAGTGCAGAACTTCTAATTTCGATACATCAGCAGCATGAGAAACTAAGATAAATTATCAAACAATGCAAATGATGCAGACCATTATATTTAGCAGTGCAAAACAAACTTCGTCCAACAACAGTTCTTTTACCCAATGTGGTAATCTTAATATCCAATTAAGCAAAAAACCAAACAGTCTAAATTTTTAAACCACAGATTTTGTGTCGCTTTTTAAATCTGCTCAACACAAACGAAAATTTCAATGATTAAAACCACACGCACAAGTCAATTACCATTTGAGCCTAAAACAACCTTTTCAAAGAACTTTAAATGGCCATAGATCCTGCTCGAATCTAACATCTACTAAACGCTTACGACAATGTTTGCCGTACTAAGCCTATTTCAAAGTTTACGACAGCGATATAACTTTGAACACAGCAGTTGAAAATAACGTCAGGGTCTGCAAAGTTTGAAAAAAAATATTTTATAAGTTGCAAGAAAAAAAAGCTATGATAAATAATAAAACAAACCCCGAAAACCCCATAACGCTTAAACCTGTCTGGTTAAAAGCGTCCATTACAAATCTTCATATGCACAAAGTATAGAATACGCCATAACTGTATCAGAAATGTACGTTGTAGTATACAGAAAAATCTCCACTCCAATTTTCAAAGCAGAAGAACATCACTTAAAGTTTAGAAAGAAATCGGAAAATCAATATAAAAAAAACAAAATAAAAAAAAATAAAAAAAATAAAACTTGATAAAAGGAACATAGCCTTAACCCAACGAGGGATAAAAAAAACATCGTTGCTTTCGGAGGACAAGACCAAAATATGTAAAAACTATAATGTACAAAAAACGTTCAGAATTTCTTGGACAGCTGTTCAAAAATAGAAATGACAACAGTGAAACACAAGTAAGTCTAAAACCTCAGTTTTTTGCTGACAACATACAAACTACTTTTTAAAATAAAGCTTTTGAGAAAAAAAAGAACAACCAGATCATCCAAAAACTTCCTAGAAGACAATTCATTTGAACCGTATGCGAAGTGATGGTGCAATAACCTCAATCTCCTAGGAATAACTGAGAGAACTTGAATGGCTTCAAATTTTGAATGAGCAAAAAAAACATCTTTTCATGGCTTTTATCCTTTGAAAGAGTATGAAATAACAGATAAATTAAGAACAAAACAGTACTAAAACAAAGAAACAGTCAAAAATTCACATACGAAATAATCAGTAAACAACGAAGAAATAGTTTCAGCTATGTTCTATAACAGATAATAACTTCAAACCATCTCTTTTGGCAGCGGCTCAGACTGAGGGGTCGTCGGCTGCGTTCGTGCATGTCCTGACAGTTGATCAATGCTCGTTGACGCTACCAACTTGGCCTGAAAAGGAAAAAAACCACGTTGTGATAAAACCTAAATGTAAAAGCATTACTGCTGCAATAGCACATTGGGATAGCTAAGAGTCTAATGACGAAATTTTACAACAAATTTCAACATCT